AAATAATATTTCTATGAATATTGATACTTTATCATAATGGACGTAAGATTTGAAATAATAACTATCAGTTTAATTTTTTTTTTTACGATTTTATGTTCATTATTTTGACAATGATTGCGGCCTAATGTTCAGGAAACATTTATTTCTTTCTTTTTTCTCATGTTCAAGAAATTTTAAAACATACTTACTCATGACTCACTCTGTATACACACTTTATGCACATATATAATATATATACATATACGTCATAATTCTCTACAATGGTAATCTGATCTTATTATTTCGAAATACTTGAATCAATACGGCATAAAGGATTGTAAGATTAGAATAATACTTCTAAAAATATAAAATATGTGCGTATAAAACAAATTTAATTCATTCATAATTTAATATCGATACATCGTCATTTCATATGCATGAATGAACAGATGAGAAACGATATTCTATGCTGATAATATACATTTCACATCGTTGCCTGAATTGTTTTTACATTTAAATAAAATTCATTCAAACTTCTATCTCGGATGAAATTGCCATCGTAAGATCCGCTTATAAGATTACGCGATTGAAAAACAATAAAATTTCTCGTTCTGCCTACTTTTATATGTGGCTGTCTAGAGTCTGCGACCTGCGATCCTCATCATTTAAGACGAAATTTTCTCGCTATCTCTCTTCCTCTTTGTCATCATTTCTCTGAAAAAAGATAGATTGGTCTTAGCCTGGCAGGGCAACGAACTCGAAGGTTAATGACCCCCTCGACTTTTCGTTTAGTATGAGCAAAGTCGGTCCTTGACCCCGAAGATCCTCTTCGCGCAAAGAAGGAGATTCGTCCGGTGGCCGCACCGAGATATAGTTGTCAGCAGGTAGAAAAATGCCGGTGCTTTTTGGTAGAGCGTGCACTCACCTGGTCCTGGCACGACCTGCCCCACGTGAAAGGAAAGGTCGTCGAAGAGAAATCGAATGCCTTTCGAAGTGTGATGATATCAGCGACGAAAGCGTGCGCGAACTACCGTTTAACAAGACCTTGCATCGTGTCCAAGGTTTCACGCCGTTAGAATTAATTCAGTGATTATACGCGAAAGTTAGACAGATATATGTAATGTTAATGAAGCGATCTTTCTGTCTCATTCGCGTTGATAATCAAATTATGTCTGAATATTTGCAGAGAAGTGGTATTTCAAGTTTCGATTTATTTTAATATTTTTCGCAAAAGTAAATAATGTACATAAATATATATATATATATGAAATGGAATATATTTTTAATATAAATGTTATACACAACGTTTTACGTAATGAAGCTGGCTCTTTGCGGAATTTGCTCGATTCTAAATGATGGTCTAGCTATAGAAAACTCGGTTCACGTAAGTAACTTGCGCCAAGGTATTTCTTCGTTACGTTGTCGAGGCACCATTTATTCTTTCTACCTTTCACACGCAACCGTGCACGCCACATGGTGCAACGTGAGTACTTGCGCGTGCGGGTTTGCGATAATTGATGCCGGCAAATTGAGCAATGTAGCAGCACTCTTTCCCCCATGACGTAATTTCGTGCACTCTCCGCAAAACGATAATCAACGTGCCGGGCGATTTTTATACTTTTTCGGCTCTCGCTTGGGATTTCTTTGCTTCGAGCCAGTATAGTCTGTAACGAGAACAATTAGGTTCATCTTGATGATGAACGAAGAAAAATAGTTAATCCCATGATAATCGCGACATTCGCATGGATTCTCCGCTGATCTAACTCATGTACATTTCTCTTACGAGATACATTTTTAGTCAGTTTGCACACGTTACTTATTTGCTCTCATGCATCGATAAAGTGCAAAATGCGAAGCATATGAATAGGAGATGGAGATCCATGATCGGTGCGGGACGTGCGCGGAAAAACACGAAAACGGAGAGAAGGACGATAGTAGCGAACGACGCGAATAGATACGGGGATAATTCAAAATATAACTTCACCGACTGAATATACAACTCCCATCTCCGGCCGTGCCACGCCAACGGGCGCAGTGAGTCAGTAGGTTAGCTTACGTAATTTTCGGACGGCAGTTCTCCGTGCATCGACGAGGAGGCAGCCCCGACTTGCGGTGTCAGGAATTAGGTCGATCAATACTTACGCGGCCGCGCTATATAGGTCAGGTGCACTACCACGCTCCGCGTATGCGACGAGGAACGTTATCCCCCTTCCTGACACCTAGCAACCCCCGTGTACCACCCAACCCGGTCACGAGCCACCCACCACCGGGACAAAACCTACCACTCCCGCTTTCAACTCAAAACTCGGCCATTCCCTACTTTCGTTCTTTCGCGTCCCGCTCCACATATCCGCTTACGGTGCGTTAATACGTTAATTGACTCCAATCAGCTTGGTCCAGCTGGTCTTTGCGAGAGATCGAATTGGGTGATCGTTATCTCGGTTGTTAGTACCGCCTGGAATTCGCCTGGAATGTATGAAACTGTACATCCTCTCTTCATGTCGGCCATCATGATCGGGGAACGCGGAAGTGAAGGAAAAAATCGAATAAACGAGGGCATTTCGTCGAATGATTATCGTGATAATAACGAATCCTTTCTACAAATAGACATTTATGTAAAAATCTTTACATTGAAAAGAAGTATTTAGTATTTAATATTTTTGACTATAATTATGAGGCAAAAATAATTATACTTACAGTAAATAAATATTTGTTTAGTAAAAAAAAAGATTGTTAAATTAAAGTGACATTTCTTGTATCAAATAAATATATCTTTATATTTAATAAATATTTAGTTGGCAAGTATTTAACTAAATATTTATTAAAATTGACTATATTTTTTTTCAGTGTAGAATCTTCATTTTTATTGCTGCTATAAAGTTAGTAATAATAGTTATATTTAATATGATATAAAGTTAGTAATAATAGTTATATTTATAATTGTTCCAAAAAATATAATTCGTATCGAATATTACTTATAAATTATAGTTAAATTATGGTAATTACAAATTAATTTGTTCTCTCAGTGCAACTTTCTTGTATATATCAGGTATTAGGATAATAACATCATTTTTAAATTCTATTTTGGATTAACAAAATGCGATATTAATTACAAAATACTAAATGAATAATGAATAGAACTTCATCAAACATACCATTGATCAAGTACACATGACTGAAAACGTGAAGGAGAAACAAGAAATATATGAGTCATGTATGGCTTCTTAGGTTGTATCCTCTGTTCTAAGTCGCGTTAAGCTATTTGCGTCATGAGCCACAATAATCATCAAGGTGTCGAGAGGTGTGGATAGGGGAAGTATTTTTCAAAGTAAGAAGAATTTCGCGCTGGACGCCATAGATGTCCATGTGAACTGGACACACGTACAACATTGAATTGCTTGCACAA